CAGCAAAGAATGATAACAACCTACTCCTAGTAGGTGAGTAGGGATCTACTGAGCCATAACTATGTTCTGATGTTGGTATATTGTTTACTTGCCCCTTGCTGTTGCCTTGCATGGGGATATGTACATGCACATTGAGACCCGCTGTACCAGAGTCAAATTCCTCATGTGTCCGACACACCTGGCCAATACAGCTGATTCTGATTCTGATAGTAAGTGATAACATAATGTGAAGTTATAAAGTTGTGTGATAACACCCAAAGCAGGTGGCTCACACTACATACAGCCAGCACCTCAGGGGACCATAACATAATCAAGTCACAGACCTTCAGATGCTGTCGACAGACCATGTTATGATTCTTGTGTGTTGGTGTGTATTTCAGAGAGTGAAGGGCACCAAGCCATTCAAGGCCAAAAAGAAGAGAGGTGGTCATTTTGGTCTGAGGAAACTGAAAGAGAAGCGCAGAGAGGAGCTGGTGATAGAGGGGACGCCCCCCAGACTGGAGATGAGTGATGTGGATGTGGAGTTTTCTCTTCCCAAATTCAAACATAGGACGAGTGCAAAGGTTGAAACAGAAGGAGCTGGAGGTGCAGCAGCCATCGGGAAAGCTGGGGCTCAAGTGAAAGCCAAAGAAAAAGTACACAAGTTTGGAATCACCTTTCCTAAGACTAAACACACAAAATCTGACTCAGCTTTGGCAATGGGATCTGTGGAGCTGAAGCCACCAGATGTGAACATCCAGTTACCATTAGCAGAGCTCAGTGTATCTGGTGATAAAGATCTAAATGTAGAGAAGGGAGGGCCTAAATTTAACACACCTGATGTGGCATTTGGAATCCCTTCAGGAAAAGCTGAGGCATCTCTGCCCACTGTGAAGGGAAAAGCAGAAGTCAAAGCTCCTAAAGTCAATGTCAAAGGAGGAGTTGATGTAAATGTAAGCAAAGGAGATTCAAAGCTCAGAGTGCCAAAGTTGAAATTACCCAAAGTTAAACTCTCACATCATTCAGATGAGATAGATGGTGACATCAAGGTAAAAGCTGAGGGGATAAAAATGCCTCACACTCACATAACACCTCCAAAGGTAGAAATCACTGGAGGTGGGGATATTAGTCTTCCCAAGGCAAAAATCACCAAACCAAAAATGGAAGGTGATCTCTCAGGAAAAGCAGCATCCGTTCAGATTCCCTCTGTTGATATTTCTTTACCAAAAGTGAAAGGAATGTCTGACATGGATGTCTCGCTCTCTGAGTATGAAGGAGCTGAGAAGACAGCAATCAAAATACCTGCCACTGACATCTCTGTGCCTGTTGTTGATTTGGAATTGGGTGCTGGGTGGAAAATTCCTGATGAGGTAGAGGGCACTTTTAAAGGGCCCCAAATCTCAGTGCCAAAGGTTGATATCTCATCACCAAGCATGGGATCACCTGATGTTGATATTGAATGTCAAAAAGGTGGTGGTAAATTCAAGGTACCTCCTGTTGATATTGTTCTCCCAGAGGCGAAAACACAATGTGTAGATGTGGATATGGGCCGTTATGTTGGTGGAGATGGAACATTCAAAATGCCTGCTTTTGGACAAGAAATGGAAGGAGGTTTCAAGTTGCCCAAAGCAGACCTGACTCTTTCTAAAGGCAACGCAGGAGCAACTGATATTGAAGGAGGGGGAAAATTTAAGTTACCATCACTTGATGTTTCCCCACCAAAAATGAAGACAGGTGCAGTGAAATTTGATATTGAAGGCCCTACTATGAAAGGTGATAAATTCGAAATGCCTACACCTGACATTTCTTTGCCCAAAGGGAAAATGGAAGGAAACATTGAAGTAAAAGGGCATACTGGAAAAGGGGGAAAACTCAAAACGCCTGCCTTTGATGTGTCTTTACCAAAACTGAAACAATCAGAGGGTCAAATAAACATAGAGGGCCCCAAGCTTGATGGTGAAGGTAAGATTCAAATACCCTCTGGTGACATATTTCTGCCAAAAGGAAAGCTGCAGGGTAACATTGAAATAGAAGGTCCATCTGCAAAAAGAGTAGAGTTCAAAATCCCCCAAGGAAATGTAGAGGGAGATATAAACATTGATGGCAGCAAGGTAAAAGGAGGAAAACTAAACTTGCCTTCTTTAGACATTTCCCTCCCAAAAATAAAGATACCTGAAGGAGATGTAAAGCTAGAATCCCCTGAACTTCCAACCCTTGACCTTTCAGCTCCCAAGGCAAATTTCAGGGCCAATATGGAGGTCAAAGACCGTGGTAGTAAAGAAGCCAAATTCAAAACACCAGATTTTGACATTTCATTCCCAAATACGAAAACCGACACACCGTCACTCAACATCTCTTTTCCTGCAATGAAATCACAAGAGGGGGAGGTAAAGTTTGAAGCTGTTGAAATAGAGGGAGGTACTGGAGGAAAGTTCAAAATGCCTCACATGACAATGCCAGATGTTGATATCTCACTGCCTAAAGGAAAGATCGAAGGCCCAGATGTTGAAATAGAGGGAGGTACTGGAGGAAAGTTCAAAATGCCTCACATGACAATGCCAGATGTTGATATCTCACTGCCTAAAGGAAAGATCGAAGGCCCAGATGTTGAAATAGAGGGAGGTACTGGAGGAAAGTTCAAAATGCCTCACATGACAATGCCAGATGTTGATATCTCACTGCCTAAAGGAAAGATCGAAGGCCCAGATGTTGAAATAGAGGGAGGTACTGGAGGAAAGTTCAAAATGCCTCACATGACAATGCCAGATGTTGATATCTCACTGCCTAAAGGAAAGATCGAAGGCCCAGATGTTGAAATAGAGGGAGGTACTGGAGGAAAGTTCAAAATGCCTCACATGACAATGCCAGATGTTGATATCTCACTGCCTAAAGGAAAGATCGAAGGCCCAGATGTTGAAATAGAGGGAGGTACTGGAGGAAAGTTCAAAATGCCTCACATGACAATGCCAGATGTTGATATCTCACTGCCTAAAGGAAAGATCGAAGGCCCAGATGTTGAAATAGAGGGAGGTACTGGAGGAAAGTTCAAAATGCCTCACATGACAATGCCAGATGTTGATATCTCACTGCCTAAAGGAAAGATCGAAGGCCCAGATGTTGAAATAGAGGGAGGTACTGGAGGAAAGTTCAAAATGCCTCACATGACAATGCCAGATGTTGATATCTCACTGCCTAAAGGAAAGATCGAAGGCCCAGATGTTGAAATAGAGGGAGGTACTGGAGGAAAGTTCAAAATGCCTCACATGACAATGCCAGATGTTGATATCTCACTGCCTAAAGGAAAGATCGAAGGCCCAGATGTTGAAATAGAGGGAGGTACTGGAGGAAAGTTCAAAATGCCTCACATGACAATGCCAGATGTTGATATCTCACTGCCCAAAGGAAAGGTTAAAGGCCCAGACATTGAAATGGAAGGAGGTACAGGAGGAAAGTTAAAAATGCCTCACATGAAAATGCCAGATATTGACATCTCTTTGCCAAAAGGAAAGATCGAAGGCCCAGATGTTGAAATAGAGGGAGGTACTGGAGGAAAGTTCAAAATGCCTCACATGAAAATGCCAGATATTGACATCTCTTTGCCAAAAGGAAAGATCGAAGGCCCAGATGTTGAAATAGAGGGAGGTACTGGAGGAAAGTTCAAAATGCCTCACATGAAAATGCCAGATATTGACATCTCTTTGCCAAAAGGAAAGATCGAAGGCCCAGATGTTGAAATAGAGGGAGGTACTGGAGGAAAGTTCAAAATGCCTCACATGAAAATGCCAGATATTGACATCTCTTTGCCAAAAGGAAAGATCGAAGGCCCAGATGTTGAAATAGAGGGAGGTACTGGAGGAAAGTTCAAAATGCCTCACATGAAAATGCCAGATATTGACATCTCTTTGCCAAAAGGAAAGATCGAAGGCCCAGATGTTGAAATAGAGGGAGGTACTGGAGGAAAGTTCAAAATGCCTCACATGAAAATGCCAGATATTGACATCTCT